GGGTGGAGGGGAGCTATGGGGGGAAAAAGGAACAACTGTAATAATCTGAACAATAAAGATTTATTTTTTTTAAAAAAAAAGCAGCACATGTGAGTGCTAGTCCATCCCGTTCTGCACCTCTGCACCTCCTACCAGTCTCAATGTGCTTTCTTCTTTCTCTAGTTGTAGTACTTCCACTCAGCCAGCTTTCCCATGGTTCTGGATGATAGTTGTTTTGTATTTTAGTTGTAATTTTGATGTGGTTGTGGGAGGCAGCAAGTATAGGCATTTACCTATGCCGCCATCTTGGTTCCCCCCTTAAAGCAGTCCCTTTAACATTTCTTGCATTGCTGGTTTGGTGATAATATACTCCTTTAGTCATTTTTTGTCTGGAAAGTTTTTTATTTCATCTTCAATTTTGAATGATAGCCTTGCTGGATACAGTAGTCTTGGATTTAGGCCCTTGCTTTTCTTTACTTTGAGTACTTCATACTTCATGCCACTCCCTTCTGGTCTGAAGTGTTTCTCTTGAGAAGTCAGCTGACATTCTAATGGGTACTCCTTTGTAATTTTTTTTCTATCTCTCTCTTGCTGCATTTAAGGTTCTTTCTTGGTCTTTAACATTTGCCATTTTAATTATGATGTGTCTAAGTGTGTGTCTCTTTGGGTTCATGTTGTCCCAGAGCTCCCTTAAGCTATCTCCCTGCTTTCTAAATCTTTTTTCTATTTGCTGTTCTTATTGGGTATTTATTTCTACCTTGTCTTCCAGATTGCTGATTCAATCCTCTGCTTCATCCACTTTACTTTTAATCCCTTCCAGTGTGTTCTTGATATCAGATATATCATTCTTCATTCCTGTCTTGTTCAGCATGAAAATGGAATCATGACCTCTATTTCCCTTTTCATGCTGTTTTCCTTATGCACTAAGTTTTCCTTAAGCATATTTTTAAAAAAATATCTTTTTATTGATTTCAGAGAGGAAGGGAAAGGGAGAGAGGATAGAAACATCAATGATGAGAGAAAAATCATTGATTGGCTGCCTCCTGCATGCCCCACACTGGGGATTGAGCCCGCAACCTGGGTATGTACCCTGACTGGGAATTCAACTGTGACCTCCTGGTTTCTAGGTCAATGCTCAACCACTGAGCCATGCCGGCCGGCCTTAAGCATCTTTATGACCATTGCTTTGAACTCTATGTCTGATAGGTTGCTTGCCTCCCTCTCATTTAGTTCTTTTTCTGGATATTCCTTTTCTCTCATTTGAGGGTTGTTTCTTTGTCTCCCCATTTACCTGTCTGCTTGTATTTGCTTCTATGTATGAGATAGAACTGCTATGCCTCCCTCCCAGTCTTTGTGGAATGGCCTCATGTAGAAAGTGTCTTAAGGGGTCCAGTTGCATAGTCTCTTTGTTCACCTGAGCTGGATACTTTAGGAATGATCCTTATGTGTGCTGTTTGTGCTCTCCTGTTGTAATTGGGACTTGATTGTTGATGTCCCGTTTGTGGGAGGGATCTCTCCTCTCATTGGATGCCAGTGAGCTTCATCCCCAATGTCCTCGTGCCAGCTGTTATACAGGTGTTTGGGTCCGCTATTTGTGGGGCTCGCTGGATTTTTCTCTGATGTTGTTGAATCTGGTCCCTTGATGTGTCTATCCTGTGCCTCATGGTAGCTGCTCAAGTGCAGGTGTATGTGAGTCACTGTCCCTTTCTGGTCCTAGGCAACCTGATTGAGGTCTGAGAAGTTGAATCCTCTTGTAGTCCAGTGGTCAGGGACTTCTTAGCCCAGAGGCTGGATCTGTCTTGAGTCTCACACTTTATTGACCCTGTTTTGAGCTGCACTTCCTTCCCCCATGGAGCTGGTCCTGCAGCTGTCAGCTGCAGCGGTTGGGGTCCCACTGGCTTTTGCCTCACTGAGCAGTATGGGGTAGTGTCCGTGGTGGGGACCCAAACTGCTGTTTTTGACTAATTAGAGCAGGTGTCAGCTCTGGAAGTGGCAGAGTGTGGTGGATGGAGCCCTACACTGGGAGCTTAGGCGCCTGGATTCTCTCATCAGCGCTGCCCCTTCAGGGCTGTGCTCTCATTCTGTGCAAGCCTCCATTTCCCCATGTGTTCATTGAAGGTGTTGGACTAGAAACAACCCTTCCCAAATAGGTGAGGGTACATGGGTTTGCAGACTGCCCCCCTCCCCGCCCCCGCTCCCCAGAATTTCCAAGTCTTCAAGCTAAAAGTAAAACTAAGCAATCAGGCTGGAGCACCGGTTTCTTTATGGTTCCTGAGTGGCTCAGCTAACTGTGCCCATGGAACTTGATCTAATGAAGACAAGTTTGTTGGGTGATAGTCTACACTAGATGTTAGGCTCAGTCCTGAGGATACAGTAGGGGATAAGACAGCCTGGAATGGGCTGACACAAACAAGGGTCTACACCAAGACTGAATTACAGAAGGTATAACTGCACTGGAAATGAGCAGAAGTGACAGGAACTTGGCCAGTACGGGGTCAGTGAGGACTTCCCTGAAAGGATGCTTAAATAGGGACCTGAAACATGAGTGTGGCCAGCAGGTGAAGATGTGGGAGAAGGATCCCAAATCTTTACTTAGGAAAGACAGTGCAGACCTGAGGCCAGCAGGCAGGTGCTGGCCAGCTTGAGGCACAGAGAGAACAGTGTGGCTACAGTGTGGTGGTGCTGGGGGACTGTGGTTTTCAGTGAAATTAGAGCCATGGGCAGAGGCCAGATTGTGTCAGGTTCTTACAGGATGTGTTAAGGCCAGATTGTGTCAGGTTCTTACAGGATGTGTTAAGGATTTGGACTCACTCTCTGGGCAGACCTTGAAGGGTTTTAACCTAGGTGTGATATAATCATATTTGGTTGTCTCCTTAGGGTCTGAAATTTTATTTTTTTCCCCCCACAGGTTCTTGATATTGAAATTCTAGCTTCACAAACACTAATTCTGTCAGTGTACACATTACCCCCGATGAATGTAATACAACAAAGTGAAGGCCACAAAGTCAGGGCAGACAGAGATGGCAGGCAGCCCACTGGGCTCACCACTGGCTCCAGAACTTACCTCCACCTTTCCAGCCTCCCAGACCACCCAGTTGAGATATGCACCTAACAAGTCTGACAAGTTGCTGCAAATCCATCTGCAGAGAGAGTGATGAGGATGTCGTTTGGGGAGAGGTTCTTTTGAGGTGGGATCCATGGAAGTGGGTAGAGATAGAAGAAGGTTTAAGAAGGGGGCATCTTTGGCAGGCAATGAAAGACTGGAAAACAGTAACTCACATGTGTTCATTCAGTCAGTACATTTTACGAGGTCTCTGACTCAAATGGAGCTGTGGTAGAAATGAATAGAGATGAATGAGACTCAAAGAGCTCACACTTACATGGAGGCCTCCAGCGTTTGTTCCCAGGTTCTGACTCTGTGAGTTCAGGCTGAGACGTCTTGTGCCCTTCCAGTCCCTGACTTGCCAGATGCTTTTCTGTTACTGGAGCTGAAGGTGCAGGTTGCCTGGACAGGGAATATGGAATCCTAGGTTTGAATCCTCATTCCGCCTCCAAGTTGCAACTTCCATTTTCTTCTTTATAAAATGTACAAAGGAAGTAAATGCTCTCTGAGATAATATCCCAGCATTTTACATTTCAAGCCCATCCCCTGGCTGGCAGTGGGAACTCATGATGAGGAGTGGGAAGGGCAACATTTGAGTTAGGATTTTCTCTGTTAACTACTTCCAACCCTGTCCCAGAGGTCTCTGTGAGATGGTATTCCATGGGGATAGCCTGCTGCTGTGAAAAGCTGTAACTGAGCCTATCTCTGACCCTGCAGGTATACCCTTTGTTCCCGGGCACGTCAACCATCATGATCCACGACTTGTGCCTTGCCTTCCCAGCCCCAGCGAAGGCTGATGTTTATGTCTCAGACATTCAGGAGCTGTACGTCCGAGTGGTAGACAAGGTCAGTGTCAGCTTCCCGATGTTCCCCTTCTCTGCTGATTCACAGAAACCAGGAAGATGCTGTGGTCATGGGAGATATTTTTTCTCACATTCTTTGCTTTTTCTCCTGGTTGCTGTGTCCCTCCTGGGTTGCTGTGAGTTGGCACTGCTGTCTCTCATCTCTGCTGTTCTGTGCACATAGTGCAGAATGAGCTCTGAGGTTGTACTTCTTCGGCCCAGTGGACAACAATAAAGCTTGGCTGCAAATCCCCCTTGGAGCTGTCTCCACATCAGCCTGGACCAGGGATTCCTGTCCTGCAGCTGGTGCGGGTCACTAGCCAGCTGGGTGCACACCTTGTGGAACATGATATTTTCTCCCCACTATGTAGCTTTGGGAGTCTCAGGAATTTCATTGGCAATTGAATGAAGCTCACTAATGCCAAGTCTTTTGCAAAGTAAATACATAATAGATATAGGCTTTTCTTTCATGTAAATAGGAAATGTTTATACTCCAAATACCTAAAGTAACTGTAGCTAGATTTACAGAGAGTTACTGTTGGTTCCTATTTTTCTGAGTGGAGAGAATGGTTAATTAAAAGGGAAGTGTTTGAACAGCTTAGGCAACTTAAAAAGCCAATATTCTCTTACACAGCCTCAAATATTCCTCCTGTGGTCTCATTTTCACTGGTGATTTGCTGACCAGATTTCACTTAGCATTTCTGACTCCCATTTCCTAAAGTTCTTACTGTATGTATTATATGCTGCCAGGTGTGAGATATTCAGTCATTGTGCACTTATTGAACTACACTACATCGGCTGCCATTCTAAGCTGTGCCTTATCTAACTCGATGGTTAGTTCTTTAAGAGTGGGGAGTGTAATTGATGCATCTAAGTAACTGCTTGTATACAGCAGTTATTCCATTGATTTTCATTTGTTGATTGGCTAATAGTCTGGAGGTCAATCCAGGTGACCTGTCCCTAATTTCCAGGTCTGTGGGTTTGAGGTTGGTGACATTTCTCAGAAGGTCATAGGTTGCTGTAGGTGGTGGAGTTGGTCATTCCGAACCCCCTGAATCTGTTCCCTGTGATATAGGTGGAGATTGGGAAGACAGTCAAGGCATATGTCCGTGTGCTGGACTTTCACAAGAAGCCTTTCCTGGCCAAATACTTTGCCTTCATGGACCTGAAGCTCCAAGCAGCCTCTCAGATCGTCACATTGGTGTGAGTTCCCCAGGGGTCAGGACAGAGCATCTCAGGGACGGTGCTGACAGGTCTGTCTGGGGGAGAAGTCCCAGCCCTTCCCTCTGTTCCAGCTCCCTTGACGAGGCCCTTGACAACTACACTGCCACGTTCCACATCCATGGTGTGGCCATTGGCCAGACCAGTCTCACTGCAGTTGTGACTGATAAAGCTGGACAGAGAATCAACTCAGCCCCACAACAGATTGAGGTAAAGCTGTTCCTCTTCATGCCACGTGGGGTCAGCCCAGCCCCTGGTGGGCACACGGGTGGAGAGGGGAGGATGTCCTTTTTGTGATAGGCCATTTTAGCATCTGTGCCCTACAGTGTGCCTTGATTACCAGCCTCAGGGAGCTGAGGGCAGCCCCAGAGGAAGGGCTGAGCTACTTTAACCTCCCTCTGGGACATGGGGGCATTGATGTTGCTCAGAGAAAGGAAGCACCTTATCACCCAGCAGGGTAATGGCAGGCACTCTAAGCTGCTGTAGTGCCAGACAGAAGTTGTGGACAGCTGTGTGGATGCTCCTCTTGGCAGTCAGTCTGAATGTTAGACGGGACCCTTAGAAGGGGCAAGCTTTCGGGATGGGAGCGCCTGGAGCAAGCAACTACTGGATAGGGGAGCACTGAGCTCCCCCCAGCATCATCTCAGCAAGTGGTTTGGGCTGTCATGTGGTGTTAGCTTTTGACAGGACCCCCACAGTCACCAGGGACCTAGGCAGCCATGACCAAGAAGTCCTGCCCAACTTTATTCTTCTTCAGCAGCACTAGACTGTTTGGCTCCTGCTGGCACCTTCCAAGCGTCTCGGCCACACATGGGCTTGTGCGCTGTATGTTAATTAATCTGTGTCTGACGCTGGTGGATGTGGACTGTGCCTCCACATGGAAGTGCACCTTTCTCCTGGTGGAATGGAGTTCATTTCTGCCTGTGAATAGCTCATCCCTGAGACTAATCCTCACACACAAAGCAGCCTCTCAGCCACTGGCTCTTTTGCTCACCCTTAAGCTCTCCTCTTGCCAGGTGGGGGTTGGGGAACAAGAGGAAGATGTGGGGCTTTGCCTTGCTGCAGAGATGGGGCATCCTCCTCCCTACCCCTGGGCCCACTTTCTGAGAAGTTTTGAGGGCATTGAAGTAGAGGTAATTTGTCAATAGGAATTTAGAGAAATTTGGGAAAGAGGCAAATTTCCAAAGATGAGTTGGGGAAATCTGAAAGGCAGTGGATTTGAAACTGACATGCAGCAAATCTCCCAGATCACAGGACCCACCTGATCCTACAGGTCTGGGCTGGAAAATGCATCTCTAATGGTTCCCAGGAGACCTTCACAAGCAGTAGGACACGCCCCCAACCAAGAGCCTTGGGCCCGTGGGTGGGATGAGAGCTTGTGGGAGCTACTCAGGCTCCCCCAGAGTTGGCACAGGACCCCAAGGCTCTCCTGGGTACCCCTTCACAGAGGAGTGATTTCCACGCACCATGTTCCCTTCTCCCTGAAAATGGTGAGTGAATTATGCCCAACAGCATGAGCTTGGAATGCAACGGTCCCCTCTTTCTCTTTTGTCTCCACACCCAGGTCTTTCCCCCATTTAGGCTGATACCCAGGAAGATGACGCTGATTATTGGGGCCATGATGCAGGTATGAGCCAAAGGCCACATCCTTATGCCACCCACATCCACGGCCAGGCACCAGCAGGCAGTAGCCGCACACCCTGCCCGGGCTCCAGGTGCGCCCACCTGCCATGGGCATCGACAGGCTGAGATGGAGTGCTCTGGGATGTTACCACTCTCATCCTCTGGAGACAAGGTGTGGCTGCCAGGAGGATAGGGGTTAACGGCACTGCTGTTTCTCCCCATTCCAGATCACCTCTGAGGGAGGCCCCCAGCCTCAGTCCAACATCCTCTTCTCCATCAGCAACGAGAGCCTGGCAGTGGTGAACTGCGCTGGGCTGGTGCGGGGACTCGCCGTTGGCAATGGCACCGTGTCCGGGGTCGTCCAGGCCGTGGATGCTGAGACCGGAAAGCTCGTCATCGTGTCTCAGGTGACAGGCCTGGGCTCCATCAGAGATGGGTGCTTTCTGAGTCCGACCTCTCGTGATGGGGCATACTGCCCCCTAGCAGCTGCAGGGTGGTCATCTGTGAAGGGGAGGCAGCTCTGGTTACTGGGTTTGGGCTCTGCTCCCAAGGACCATCCCTCTCTGAGGGTCTTGCTTCTGCCTTCTGAGGCTATAATCCCTGTCTGTCACCTAGATCAGCCCTGCCAACTCGAGGCACCTGGATTCTTCTCCAGACTGAGTTCCTAACTTCTTTTTAAGGAACAGGGTCTCCAGCCCCTGCCCTGGGGATGGTGCCAGCTGTGGTGACAGACTCTGCCCAGACCACTGTGCACCCCTCCTGTAGCCTCAGCACCTGGCAGTTGTACCCCTCTCCCTGTTTCTAGGTGAGGGGCTAGGGAACCTGCTAGAAGCCCCAGTGACTACACCGCAGTTCTAGGACTGACCTGGGCCTGCCGACAGCAGAGCTCTCGGTCCCTTTGTTCCTTCAATTCAAGCAGGGCTGGGATGTTCCGAGGAAAGAGAAAGGGTGCTGTTGGCTCTCTCACACGTTGTGGATTACAGTGTGAGTTTTCAGAGGTGTGCGCTGGCTTGGCTTAAAAGCATAAATAATAGACACCAACAGTATTTTGGGCCTGGATTTGTATTTCCAGGAGAAACAAAACTGGAATCTTCTACTAATATCTTTGGCTCCATAGAGGTTGTCTTTCAAGCCTCTTTGCTGAGTGAGGACATTTCCTGGTTGCTTTTCTGGGTCAACATGATGCTGGAAAGCCTAGATAGGGGAGGCCTCTCCTTGGGAGAGCCCCACTGCTCCATGTCGGTGGGACTGGCTTCAAGCACATGAAAGTTGGTGTCCCCAAATCTGATGATTTCCCTTCTTTCCAGGGGGGTGGGTACCTCTTTGGGCCCTGGAAAGGAGATGGGAGATCATTTCCACCTCCTGAGAAAGGCTCAGATCACTTGGAATCTCCCTGATACTTTGGCCTGCAGTGACCTACAGAGCATCTCAGGGGAGGCTGCCTCATGCTTATGGCTGTGATGGAAAGCCAGGCTTAAGGAGAGCATTTTGTTTTGTGTAATGCTTCAAAGCCCAGTCATCCTGTTCCTTGCTGGAGCTGGGACCCTGGAAGAAAGGAGCTGGGGCACGTGCTGCCCAGGGAGGGAGGCTGATGCACCCTCCTCCCCCTAGGCTGACTCTGAGCTGACGTTGAGTTCACTGATTTACTCCTTTCTCCAGCAGTTTCAGTGTCTTCCATGTACCCCAGTTAAACTGTGTAGTCCTTTTGAATCGTGGAGGTGGACACTGGTTCTGCCTGTCAGTTTGCTAAAGATCAGAAAGTGTTGGGAATGTAAAAGTCTACCTTGTGGCACATCATGTTTCAGATAGGTGTCTTGGAGAATAAATTAAGGAACAAGGAGGCTCTGCCCTTGTTTTCTCTCTAGAGAGAGTATTGTAGCCATAGAAACTGGCTTACTTTTCCCCTCTTGGGGCTCCAAGTGGCTGAAATGGCAGCTGACTGGAAATTTGGCCAAAGGGACACATAGCCATGCATTTCCCTCCTGGCTATCTCTGCTCATTGTGGTCTAACCTTGCTGGGCCACCCCTCTTTCTGTGTCTCCATCTGGCAGGTTGGGGACAGGGGCTGCTGGGAGAAGACCCTAATGCCCCTTGACAGAGGGAGAGGCTATACGAGCCCCGGCAGGTGCGAGCTCAGCCCGAGGCCCATGTATCCCCGAAGGGATTGTGATTCTGGTCTGAAGCTTCCAGTTCTCTCTGTCCAAGAATCAGCACCCAAGGTCAAGGGGTGGACCAGGACTGGCAGGAGGAGACCGAGTAATGAGAACAATAAAGGAAAGGAAGGGAATAAGGGCTTATTGAGGACCTACTATGTGCCGGGCATTAGCCCAGATCACAATATACAGGAGATGGGCTCAGTGTGAGAGCTTAAGGGTCTTACTAGCAATACTCAGCATGAGTCAACAGTACTATGAAGAAGCCAATCAAGTTCGGGTAGGTTTATAGGAGAATAAAGTTCAGAATGAAGGAGGATGTAAAATCTGCTCTAATCAGACTCTGCCTGGCTCCTGCATTTGTCCATCTACTGTGCTCAGTCAGAGAGCAACAGGCTGGATTTGGGGTTGGGAGTTGGGAGGGTCTGGAGACCTGTACTTCCCAGCCTAGAGAAGAACAGTCCCCAGTCACTGCCCCCAAGTCTCTGCAGTGCTGACCTGCAGCACCTGGATCCGACAGATCTGTAGGCTCAGAGAGCCAGGCTGGGACCCGGCCCTCCCCCAGGGAGTGGGAGAGGCAGTGACCAGGTCCGTGTGAGGTGAGCCACCCACAAAGCTAAGCCACCTCTGGAAGAGAAGCACTGGGCTAGACATCCTGTGGATGCCTTCTAGCCATGTGACTGAGCGAGCCTCGGAGGAAGCAGGGGTCCCTTCCCGAAACCACTGTTGCTAGCACAGTCCCATCCTCAGCCCACCTGAGCTCCAGAACTCTTTCCCCAGGATCTCGTGGAAGTGGAGGTGCAGCTCCTGCAGGCAGTGAGGATCCGAGCCCCCATCACTCGGATGAGGACAGGGACCCAGGTGAGGTGGACCCCTCTCCAGCCCCTCCCCTCTGTGCTATCTGAGCAGCCTCTGGCAGGTTTGGGGCTCTGAGTTCTGGTTCAGGATGAGCTTAGGGGAGCCACTGCTGGGAGCAAGGGCCCTGCAAGATGAAGAGAGGAGACCATAGGCAGGGACCCAGGCGGGGTGTGATGGCTGCTGGGGACTGCAGGTCCTGAGAGGTCTAGGGGTCATTTCAGGCATGGAGTCTCTCAGCCAAGGTGAAATACAGCCCACGGCTCAAAAAGGATGGGTGGGGAGGTGCTTTTCTATCACACCTTCCTAACCTGTGCAGCCCCCATCGCTGGTGAGGGCAGAGTCGAGGCAGCTCATGTTGCACAAAGGAGACACGAACGTCCCTGGGCAATGGAGAGGCAGATGGGGCAGTGCCCAGGGCTTCCAGGGGTGCTCCTGGCAGTGGGACTCTGCTGGTCACAGGCCTGGTATTTCCCCCACAGATGCCTGTTTACATCACTGGAATCACTAACAACCAGAACCCTTTCTCCTTTGGTAATGCTGTGCCAGGCCTGACCTTCCACTGGTCGGTCACCAAGAGGGACATTCTAGACATCCGGGGGCGGCACCACGAGGTAAGCATCTGCCCAGAGCCTCCCCTCCATCCCAGGCCAGAGTTTGGGCAGGGAGGGTCCTCCCCAACTCTGCACACAAGGTCTGCATCTTCATATAAGGCCAGCCCTAGCCCTTTTCTGCTCTCTGTCTTGAGGCTTATCAGGACACCGCCCAAACACTGCCACCATTCTCTCTCCCCCGATGTGTGTCCTCGACTCTCAGTCCTGTGTCTGGGAATATGGTCTCCCAGCGATCCTTCCCATAGTGCTCAAGGACTGTGCAGCCCTTTTCATTTGAGGCTCATTCTTGCTAACCACTATAGAGGAGTTTATGGCTAAGCTACTAACAGAAGGCAACAAAAATTACAGCCTTTTGGGGGCATCAAAAAAGTCCTAGAATGTCACAGGGTTGCTAAACTGTAACTTCTACCCACTTTCTGAGATGATGCTGGAAGCCCTGGGGTTTTCTCCTGGTCTATCCCAAAGGCTCTCCAGTGGTGGGGGCTCTGCCCTCCTCAGATCTCAGAGCTGGCAAGTGTTGGAAATGACTTACTTAAACCTCTCTTTGTGTTAACTGGAACTCATACCTGGGAAGAGACTCACCTAGGGTTGCCCAGTGAGCCAGTGGGGAGAAGGAACTGGGTGCCAGGCCTGGTGACTCCAGGCTGCCACCCCAGTTAGGCCTTGGGTGTACAGGACCCGAGTGGGATGTGGTTCTGGGATAGTCCTTCTTGCCTTATTCGTGAATAGTGATG